GACCCCCAGATCCTCCAAAAAAAAAAAAAAAAAAAAAAAAAAAAAAAAAAAAAATGGAAAAGAAAAGAAAAATATTTAATAATTGGAAAAATGAATTATGAAAACTTCAAATGAAATCTGAACAATGTTGGACCCACTAGAAAACCTGCAAGAAAAGCTAATCATGGTGAAAATAAATTGGAATGTCAGAAAAAAAAAGCCCAAAGAATTGGATAAAATGTTTATAGTTTGAAAGATATTTGGACTGTCTTGAAAGTTGTGAAATGTATCATTCGAGAAAGCAACTTTAATTTGGAGCAAAATAACATTTTTTTAAAAATTATAAAGTTGGCAAATTGATGACAAAATTGAAACATCAGAAATCTGCTACAATTTCTAAAAGCCTATCAGACACAGAAAATGCAAGCATTTGAAGCAAATCAAAGAATTTGGAAATTTTTGAAAACAAAGCCCACTATCTTGACATTTCACCAAAAAATTTTGAAAAAAAAATACAAAGAATTTTTTCTTTTTTTTCTTTTTTTCCAGTATGGAGTTTTTTGGTTTTTGGTTTTTGTTTTTGTTTTTGTTTTTGTTTTTGTTTTTTCTTTTCTTGTTGAATCTGCCCCAAGAGCTTCTTGCTTTTTGGTTGTTGTTTTTTCTTTCTTTCTTTCTTCTTTCTTGATCCTGTTTTTTGTTGTTGGTTTTGAATTCTTGTTGCCCCAGACCCTCTTCCTGCTCCTTCCCTTTCTGAGTCCCCTCACCCCACACTGGGAGAGGGCTGGTGGGAGAGTGGAGAAGAACCTAAGGCATCTAGACAGGACCTAGGAGAAAAGGAGATTCTATCCTGAAGCTGCTGGGAAGTTTAGAAGGAAGGGAAGAACAGGATTTGGGGAGGACACAGAGGGTGCTGCCCATCTGGGAACTCTGGTGAGGAAGTTGAGGCTGCAGAGAAGGTCTGAGAGGCAGAAAGCTGGCTGGGAGGAGTCCAAGGGAAGGTCTCAATGACCTGCAGGCTGATCTGGTCAAAGAAAGTTTACCACCACCAGGGAGCTGGCCGCAGTGCTGGGGACCAGCTGTAGCGTGCCCAGGCCTGGCTCCTGTTTGCTGAGCACCCAGGCAGGATTAGGGTGGCAAGTGTTAAAAAGAGGAAGGCCTATGGGCTAAGGATGATCCCAAACTGGCGCTGCGGCTGAATCATGGGAGAGCTGCAGGGGAGGGTAGTATAATTTTGGGGACACTGGCAAGCCCTCTGTCTCCTATCCTCTAGGAATTTATCACTGTAGTCCCATCTGGAGTCTTGAGGGCCTACTACGTGTGGCAATGACTAAGGAATCCTTTTGGGGTTGTAGCAAGGCAGGAGTCCAAGGCTCAGGCCAGTTTGTGGATGTTCAAGAGTCAGAGCTGCACCCTGGCTTCATTAGGCAGGCTCTTTCCCACCCTGCCTCCTGCCACTGTAATTAGGCTGGGGGTTGCCATGGTAACTTGGGAGGTGACCTAGAAAGGAATTAGGGCGGGGAGGAGACCAAGCCCCCAGGGACCCTAGGGCCTTGCACCCCCTCACCCACCGACCAGGGTGCCATATGGAGTCCAAGCCCAAGGACTGAGTGTGAGGAAGTGCCAGGACTCTCCCAGCACCCCCAGCCCTAGTTCCAGCCTTACTGTGCTCATCCAGGAGCAGGAAGATTTGCTGTGGGGGGGGAGGGGTCCCTGGACCCAGCAGATGCTCTGAGGAGGGCTGCCTCCCACCCCCGGCCACATTGGGCTTCCTGGAAGGTCTGCCCTGTATTTGGAGAAGTGCTTGGGGACAAGCTGGCCTGGGGTGACAAGGAACCTTCCTCCAGAGCTAGCTGTGGGGGAGGAAGGGGAATCCGGTCTTGCCCCCCAGGGATGGGAGTGACAAGTCCTCTGAGCACCAGGCTGGTTCTCAGAAGGCCTGGGAGCTGATGGTGCTACTTCTACTCTGACTGTGTCCTTGTCCCCAATCTCCTGGCCCACCTACTGCCCCTTCCACGCAGATATCCGGGACTCTGGGAAGAAGCCTGTGATGCTGTTTCTACATGGTGGCTCCTACATGGAAGGCACAGGGAACATGTTCGATGGCTCAGTCCTGGCTGCCTATGGCAACGTCATCGTAGCCACACTCAACTACCGTCTTGGGGTGCTCGGTGAGGGTGGGCAGCCAACTCTGGGGGGCGGAGTCTGGGAGTCAGGCCTGGTGGGCAGGGCTCCTCTAAGCTCAACAGAATGGCTGCTGGACTGCACCAAGTTGCCCAGAAAGGGCACCTCCAGGAAGCCTCTTTCTTCTACCTCCAGGTTTTCTCAGCACTGGGGATCAGGCTGCAAAAGGAAACTATGGGCTCCTGGATCAGATCCAGGCTCTGCGCTGGCTCAGTGAAAACATTGCTCACTTTGGGGGTGACCCCGAGCGCATCACCATCTTTGGGTCTGGGGCAGGAGCCTCCTGTGTCAACCTGCTGATCCTCTCCCACCATTCGGAAGGTACCATTGGCCTCCCCAGCCTGCCCTGCCCTTCTCACAGACCTGACCCTACCAGTTTGCCCTTCGTTTTGCTGACACTCATAGCCTAGCCTGAGATCTGCCTCTCCCGCCAGGACTCTTCCAGAAGGCCATTGCCCAGAGTGGCACTGCCATTTCCAGTTGGTCTGTCAACTACCAGCCGCTCAAGTACACGCGGCTGCTGGCAGCCAAGGTGGGCTGTGACCGAGAGGACAGCGCTGAAGCTGTGGAGTGTCTGCGTCGCAAACCTTCCCGGGAGCTGGTGGACCAGGATGTGCAACCCGCCCGGTATGGGGGTGGGAGAGGGCCAGGGCCAGGCCTTCACTCTCCTTGTTGGTTCCAAGGAGTTTGAGCCGAGAGGTCCCTACAGGCATCCCGCTGGGCAAGGAAGGAGAGGTAGGCTTCAGGCCCCACTTGGCAGCCTTCCCTCAGTGGAGGTGGCCAAATAGAACACGTGATCACAGAGTGCCATGAAATGCTTCAGGATGACTTCTGGGGAGGTCAAGTGCCCCGAATAACTCTAGGAGGTCTTCAAGTAGAGGGGATGGGTCTTCCTGGCCAAGGGAGATACCTGCATGTGGGCTTAGTGGGCCAGGAGCTGAGAGGAGGCCAGTGACCTGGTAATGAAACACTGCCTCTTCTCCACAGCTATCACATTGCCTTTGGGCCCGTGGTGGATGGTGATGTAGTCCCCGATGACCCTGAGATCCTCATGCAGCAAGGAGAATTCCTCAACTATGACATGCTTATTGGAGTCAATCAGGGAGAGGGCCTCAAGTTTGTAGAGGACTCTGCAGAAAGTGAGGATGGTGTGTCCGCCAGCGCCTTTGACTTCACTGTCTCCAACTTTGTGGACAACTTGTATGGCTATCCAGAGGGCAAGGATATGCTGCGGGAGACCATCAAGTTCATGTACACAGACTGGGCTGACCGGGACAATGGTGAGATGCGGCGGAAGACTCTGCTGGCACTCTTTACAGACCACCAGTGGGTGGCCCCAGCTGTGGCCACTGCCAAGCTGCATGCCGACTACCAGTCCCCTGTCTACTTTTATACCTTCTACCACCACTGCCAGGCTGAGGGCCGGCCAGAGTGGGCAGATGCGGCACATGGGGACGAGCTGCCCTATGTCTTTGGTGTACCCATGGTGGGTGCCACTGATCTCTTCCCCTGCAACTTCTCTAAGAATGACGTCATGCTCAGCGCAGTGGTCATGACCTACTGGACCAACTTCGCCAAGACTGGGTGAGGGCCAGAGGGACTGGTGGGCTGGAGGGGCACCCCTGAAGGCAAGGACACCCTCACCATCTTCAACCGATCCTCTCTCCTCCTCTCCTTCTATCATATGGTCATCATTCCTATGGGAAAATGCTCACTCTTGCCTTCTCTTGCTCAAGTGAGACTGAGACTATAGTGAACATCTCTGTATCCAGCACTGAGCTAAGGGTTGGAGATTTAGGAGAGTTAGAGGTCCCTGTCCTTCCCAGGGGTGGGCTCCCTCAGTGGCTTTGGCTTGGTGTCTGTTTCTCCTTCCTCCCTTGCCTCCATCCCCCACCAGTACTCTGCTCCTATCTGACCATTGTGGTGTGTGTATGTAAAGATTTGTCTGTCTGTCTCTGTGTGTCTGCTGAGATCCACTGACATCTCTCCCTTTTCCTCTTTGATCTGTTTACTTTTTGCTGTCTCTGGCTGTCTCTTGTGATTTGGTTTCTCCATTTCTGTCTATCTCAGTCTCAGCTTCTGCCTCTTAATGGCTATTTTTTGTCTATCTCTGTTCCTTTGTCCTCATCTCCAGCTGTCTCTGGCAATCTGTCTTCATCTCTTTTTGTCTCATTGGCCCGGTCTCTGGCAATTTTTTTTTTCTTTTTTCTGGAAATTTCTTTGTCTCTTCATATCCACGTCTGTCTCTCTGTCCCTACCACTTTTTCTCTGGCTTTATTTGCTGACTTTTTTTTTTTTTTTTTTTTTTTTC